AAAGTCAGAGTTCCCCCACCTATGAAATATTATAAAATGTAGGGATGTTTCTTTTCACAGGTCAGCTTAAAAAAGCACATAATTCATGTGCAGGAATAGTTGAGACCACTTCCGTATACATGCATGTATATGTAAACAAACAACACAGTCCTGTGCCCATGACTGCTTCACCATATCTCCTAATAGGGGTTCCTCGAGTTGTTTTAGCTCATGAGGTTCCCCAAGATGCTGATATGATGATACTGAAATGGTGATACTGCCATTGTGTTCTAGCCTTGGGTAAGTGTTCAGTAACAAAGAAACAAGTTATGACAAAACATGCCATTAAACCATCAGTAAAGTATTATCACCAGCACACATTTTCAGTACCTTGGAAAGCAAATTAAAAGTTTGGTGACTTAATTGTATAGTAATTTTAAAGCAATTTATAAAAAAAAAAATCAAGTGCTTAAGAGCTATTTAGCAGACAATGAACAGCTGAAATTTCAGCCCTAATGAAAAATTCATATTAACGCTAATAGTTTTGTAACATTGAATTGAATTTTTCTAAATCCTTGGCATCAATTCTACTGATTTAATGTTCAGTGAATGAAAATAAAAGCTTCCACACCAGAAGATGTTCCATTAGAATCCAAGGAAAGAGAAAGGAGCTCATCTTTTCAGCACATATACAGGCTCTGTATAAAAATCACTTGGAAGAAACTGCAAAGATGACAGCATTTCCTCTTGTGGTGTGGTGTGTTTCTTAGCAATAGATGGAGAAAATCCCTCATCTGTAAGGAACTTTGCTAAGCAACACATTTACAAATTCAATGACTACACTGTACATAAAGCTAAGGATATTTATATTCCTAACAATATTAAGCCATTTGGCGATTTTTGAGATTTATGACACAGATTCTATAAAACTAGAATCATTTCTTATGGTGGTTTTAGGGAGGCAGAGTCTATGTCCAAATGAACAATAATACAGTTTTCACAAAGTCGGACTTCGACAGAAAGTATGTTTTTCTATGAAGTATTTATCTGTCTGGAGTACTCTTACAAAGCACACAGGCCAACTGACATGTGCTGTCCTGAGAAGACACTATACATTGTCAACGTTTGAATGGTGGTCATCAGGAGAAGAAACAAAAGGACCTCAAAGAAGAGCTCCACAAAAGATGCTATCTTCATTTCACTTTTATTCTGAAAATTTTGTTCCCAGATTCTCCCTCAATAGAACAATGAGATGACATTGCATTCTATTATAATCTTTCTATTTCAGTCCTTGCTGTAAGTCATAATTTATGTCAATGTGCAATGAAATTTTAATTCATTGGGTGGAGTGGGGACAAGAGCACATATTCTTTAGAATCGCCTTATGAATAAATTGATAGTAGATGTAGCTTCTGAAACAGGACTTCTGATTTGCCACTGATTTTCTTTTATTAAATATCACAACATTCATAAATAAGCTATTTTTATTTTTATAAATCATACAAATGAAGATAGTTTTATGTTTGTTTTCTTTTCTTGAACAAAGAAGTACAGTTGTTTTAGAAATAAGCCCTTATTATCCACTAGCAATTTGAGAGCTTCCAGAATTAGCTTATATAACTTATCATATAAGACTTGTCATAGGAAGAATATTTCCATGTAGAAGCAGTCAAGGAACACATTAAAGAAAATGTGGCTACTTCTTCAAATAAAATATATTTTCTAAACTTAAGGTTTCTAATTTCTTATAAATAGGGAGGAACAGAAATTATCACTAGGACATGCAAATTAGAACTTGCTGCAGTTGGTCACGATAATACTACAATTTTTGAAAATCCTTTTTGAATTTTCACCATTCTTAGTCATACCTAGGATAAATATGCACACTATTTTGTGATAAACAACAATTATTCTACAAAAGAAATCTTCCTTTATTTATTTATTTGGTATGGGGTCTCACTATGAAGGTAGACTAGTAGTGATCCTATTTTCAGCCTCCCCAGCTCTGAGATTACAGGCCTGCACCACCAAGCCCATTCTCAGTGGCCAGCTCAGTGCGCCTGAGGGCGAGGCTGGCATGGCATGTTTTGCCGGGAATCGAATTCCCATCCCTCTGCTTGCCTAAGCAGGTGTTTAGTCCACTGAGCTAGCTCGCTGGCCCAGAATCTTCCATTTTTCAATTCACTATCGTTGATGCTTTTTAATCACCACATGGAACCATATATGTTATATGGAATCATATGTGTTATTTCCCAAATACAAATCTTGAATTTGGAGAGTTTAAGCACTTTAATTAAAAATGTGTCATATATATATATATATATATATATATATGAAATTATAAATTGTTTTCATGCATAATTTTTGATCATATACTTTCTTCTTATAACTTATAACATCTTTGGGATACAAAATAGCATGCTCTGATTAACCAAGAGTCAAACAATATTTATTCTATTGACATAAAATTATTCTGAATTTAATAGTAAATGCCATATTGCATGTAAAGAAATCCCAGATGGCATATTGCAATAAGCATTTTAAATTTACTGGCAGTTTATAGACATTTAATGTCTATATTTTATGTATAATAATTATCTGTGAATATGCAAGCACACACTTTAAATGTTTTAGAATTTTGATTAGAATTTAAAATAGTGGTTGATTCACTACAAAAAGTCTTGCCTTTAGCTGTGGATAATGTACACAGGGGATTTATTGTCCTCAGTTCTGCATATTATGTGTTATCTGTCTCCACCTGGTGGATATTATCAATATTGTTATATTCTAATTTTGCATTGCCAGACATACAAAAAAGATTGAATGATCATGACAAAATATTACTGCTTGGTTAGTTTTATATTTTTATTTTTAGAGATAGAAATAAAGATTTCCATATAGAAAAGGTCTGATATTCCATGATATATTTTTTAGTAATTTTTTCCATATTTTTATTGAGAAACAAATAGCAATGAGATAGTTTCAAACCAAATTGGTAGGACAGTTTCAATAATTAACACATTGCATACATTCTTCTTAGTGGTTAATTGCTATACAAGATGCGGATTTGATATCCTATTTACAAACACCATTAGAACAAATCCCTCTATTCATTAAGAGAATATAACTATATATCTAAGAGAATGTAACTATATATCTACCATGATATTCAGAATGGTAATTTACTGAAAGCATTTGTTTCTTCATCTCAAGCCGACATTATTTGAAATTTTTGCAGAAATAGTTTAAGTATCTTAATGTAGTTTAATTGGACACTTTGGCAGTCCATTCAACAAATCATTTGCAAACTTTCCTGGGAATTCTATAATATAATATATTTATTTATATAGCATATTATATAATTAACATCATGTTTATGCTATATAATATTAATATATACATTTAAAATGTACATAAAAACACAAACATATGAGATATTAGCTTGAATATGTAGCATATTTTCTAACGTCACAAAAAGAAGTACAATTTTCCAGTGAGGAACTGTCAACTGCTGTCTCCCTAGAAAAAGTCAAAATCTCCAATAATATTTTTCAGGATTTTAAAAAGAACCTCTACACTTATGAACACATACTTTCTTCTGCCTTCTCTTTTCATTCATATGAAGAGGCAGGTCCTACACATGCCGTGACACATTGATCTGCTCTTGGGAGCTTGCAATCTGCCATATTTTGTTCCAGGTAAAGGGGGAGATTTTCACAAAAGAATATCTGGCTGAGAGATCATGCCTGAATAGGGAAAAGTTGTCTTATTATTTAGCTGTCTGAAACAATGTGTAATTATCTAACCTGTGAAAAAAAAGTCTTACTAAATTGATTCATTCAAAGCAAATCTGCCAAGCACCTTATTTTTTTCTTTTCATTTATATATTTGGTACAGGGTCTCACTACACAGCTCAGACTCATAGTGATCCTCTTGTTTTCACCCTCCCTGTGCTGGGATTATAGGTGTGCACCACCATGCCTGAACTCTGTCATGGGCTCAGCATGCTGTTGCAGTATGGAGGACTGGGAATCAAACCCTGGTCCCTGCTTGCCAAAGCAGGCACTTAGTCCACTGAGCTATCTTGCCAGCTTCCAAGCATCCTATTAACTAAATCTTTCTGTCATTCTTTGCTGTCACATACTCTTCCATAAGAGCCCAATTTCGTGAAGAAGAGTTGAAAGTGTTATTGATTTGAAAACAGTACCCCAAACCCAGTATAATATTGAAGTCACTGCAGTAGCTATACTATTAACAGCAGTACACATTCTGGATTTTCTCATGATTCAAGTATAAACTCCAAATGGTCCTGGCCACTCTGCTCCCAGTGACAAGTATTTGCCTAGTGCCTCTTTAAGCACACCGTTCTGCACATCACAGAGAGCCATGTGACATATAGATAACTCACAATCTGTCTTTAACACAGACTTCCACTAATTGTCCTTTTTCCTGACTTACTAATTTTGGGATTCAACATTTATAGTATGTACTACTCCAAGAAAGTAAATGTGAATGATTCGTCTGAGGAAGATTGAGGCTATAGTTCCAAGTTTTGCTCCCTTCGGAGGTACAGATGCGTCATAATTATAACTCAACTTTAAATGCTCCAACGTTATATGCCCCAAACACTTATGGCATATCTGTTAACTGAAAGGAAAGATTTAATTAAATGTAACATAGCTTTATGATTTCAGGATAAATTTACATAAAACATGAAAAACATACGAAAATACTATTTATATGCATCTGGGAGAAACTTCGTGTGAGACAGATTTTGTGCATGGGTATATAATTAAGCACTTTAAAATATCTGCATGCATTTCCATAAGATGTTTTCCAGATAAGAACAGCCCTGAAGAAGACTAGAAACCAAGAAGGGACATTTAGGTAACTTAAGAGAAGCCCTTGGTAACATTTTCCTCCCAAAATCTACGGCACTGCTCACGTTTGAAGTTAAGCAAGTTAATTCATCAGACACGTATTAGCACAGGATCTTAGTGAGGCAGCAGATGGACACCTACCTTTTTCGTTTCCATTTGAGTAATTTGGAGGCTTGTTTTTGTCAATGCTGTTGAAGCTCTGACTCCTTCGGTTTAGATTGGATGCTCCCTGGGCCTTGCTGCCGCTGCTGCCTGCGGCTGGTACCCGAGAGGGTCCTGGAAGTCTGGAATGGCAAAGGGAAGACTACACTGATGTTGTATGTTTGGAAAAAATTATAGAGCAAGGGGTGCTGGTTAGGGAAGAGTCAGTGCGAAGCCATAATACTGTATAGGATGTTTCTGATGAGCAGAAAGTGGTGCTTTCTAAACTATAAGGTTAGACAAGATGAAAAAAACAAAAACAACCCTCTGTTTTTGCTTTTTATTAGGCATGGCCTCCTAAATGGGAATGATAGAGAAAACTTAAAATAGCTGACAACTAACTAAAAAAAAAATCAGATTTCTCAATTGCTGATTAATAAAAATTTGTCAAAAAAACTGGAACAATTTCTTGAAAAGCAAGGGAAGCACTAACACTTAACTTTATTAGTTCACAGCATAAGAAGTGCAGTTGCCGTTAAGTTCAACTTTTCATTTTAGGTAACTGAACCTTAAGATTTGTAAGTTAAGAAGAAGAAAGTTGCTGAACAAATGGAAGAAAGCAACTATTTGCTGAGTATCTAAGCTATTTTTATTTAAACTGTGGTGTCAGGAGCAAGGTCAGTAATTGCATTATATGTGAATGAGATTCCTCAACAAAAAAAAAACTTTATTCTGGCAAAAAATAAGCAACAAGATTTCGGTTGGTAAATGTGTAAGTGTGGACACCTGATTATAGAGGATTTAGGACAAACAAGGATACAGGTTTCATAAGACAAAATCAGTTTGCAAAATAACAATTTAAAACATACCTAGAGTGACAGCAGTTTCAGTTATTCTTTGCACGTGAAGAAATAGATGAAGAAATACAGGGGACCTATTTTATGCCTAGCGATGGTATTAAAGGAAGCCATAAGCTACTGCTATTTTGTTTGGTCTATAGTTAAATGTTGGGTTTGATCTTTTATTTCACTGTGTTCCCTTTAAAATTTTAATTATCAATTATTTCATAAAAATTCTACCTTATTTAATTTTATATTACTGTTTTTTATATTACTGTTATCTTATATATGTATATATTCAATCCATGTGAATAAAAATGTAGAAATCAGAAAACAACATTGACATTGTAAGATCTGTTGAGAAAACATGATTTTGAAGCTTGCCAATAACTTTGCTGGTATTTGCTGCCACCCTGTGAATGTGACTGTGTACTACTTTGAAAATTCTATTCGAAAGACACAAGCAATCCAGAACTTATAAGCACAACAATGAAATTTTTTACAGCTTTCTTCTATATATTTATAGAAGAAGATATGTTACACATCAACAGTTCATGATCCAGTTGTTATACTGTTGCAATGTTAACACATGTGAAATGCTACCTATTTTATTTTTACACATTATTTAACAATTTTAGCACTTCAAAATATGAATACTTTAAAACGGTAACAGATACCGAAAAATAAAATAAGCATCAGGAAAATACAAACACTAGATTTTTAAGTGTTCATGTCCTGCAACAATTAACTAATACTTTCAAAATATTGACTGTGTTTTAGAGCTGAAATGCATACAGCTAATGAATGCTCCTTACAGCTATTTTGCTAATTAGAGGTTATATCACACACCAGATTAGAATATTTTCCAAGTGATTCCATCATTAAACTTGTATTCAGAGAGCTACAAGGGCTCACAGGTGTAGTGCAATAACCTCAGACTCGAGGAATTTTCAGTACCAATGAGTGTATATTCCAGAAAGAACTGAACTAATTAAGCTGACCAAACACTTCAATCATAATAAATCTGAGACCAATTCTTGCAGACATAATCACGGACTTTAGAAAGTTCATTCCAAACTCACATGGATAAACAAATTTTTTCACAAACTTGCTCTGCTTTCAATAAAACCTGACTCATTTCTAGAAAGCAATTAAAATGCATTTTAATCTTTACTGTGACCCATGAAGCCTCGTGATCTTCTGACTGAAGATCAAACTAAGACAAATTAAAAAATACAATTGCTCTTCTCATTACCCTAATTTGACAGGCAGCCAGAGTCTCCCAATCATTCACCAAAGTAATGAAAAGGGAAATGAGATGAAGAAAAAAAAGAAAGAGAACATGTAAGAAAAAATATCCTATTTAAACCAAATCCTTAACATATATCTCATATGTCTGAGTATTCGAAGGAGCAATAAAAAACGCTCAATATCTATGACAGTCATTACTCCTTACACATCCTCATGTATAATATTTATTATAATTTTAATTAAATATCTTTTTAAATTTTTCTCTCCAGAATCACTTTTACTGCTGTAGAAGTGACACAGAAAGGCAAGATAAGGGGTAGAGCACCTACCTCTGATCAAGGCCTCGGCGGCAGTCCCTTTGGCCATGCGCTGTGTGACATGATTTATTCTTGTTGGAAAGGCTAGTGAGCCATCACTGGACACTTTCCAGTGAGGGAGAAAATGCACAGATTCGCACAAAAATCAGGAGTGTGAGACACGGACGATGTGGTGTTGCTTACCTATTTAACACCACAATCATGCGATCATGCCTTCATTGGTGTAACATCAGAAAAACCAAACTCTTTCAGTGTTTGAATGCATTATTATTTTCCAAATTAATTTTTCTACATATATTTAAAAGATTTACTTTTTTTTTTGGCAGAACTGGTAATTGAACTCAGGCCCCTGTGCTTGCCAGGCAAGCACTTATTATACTGAGCTATCGCCCAGCCCCAAAGATATATGTACATCTTGAAGAAACAAACTGAAGCTCTTATAGATAGGTGGATACCATAGGACGCTGTGGTACAAATTTGTCAGACAAAATCAGCCAATTGTGCTTAATTCTCCTTTAAAGTGTGCAGTAGTTAGCATATGACAACCTTAAAAAGTAGTTCTAATATTGTATTACTTCCAAATTCTGTGTACAGGGGACTTCAAGTATTTTTTTTTTTAATTTGTTCTGAGCTTAGGGTCTAGATTTCATCCCAGTATATCAGGGAGTATAGTTAAACAGACATAGAAAAAGTCAAACCCAGGCTGGCATGATAGCTCTGTGGACTAAGTGCCTGCTTAGGCAAGCACAGGGACTGGGATTCGATTCCCGGCACCACATGCTTCACTGGTCCTGCCACAAGGCTTCGCGGAGCCAGACAGTGAGATGGCCCAGCACTGGGGAGGCTGAAAATAGGAGAATCACTATGAGTCCAAGCTGCTCAGTGAGACCGTACAGCAAGTGAAAGAAGGAAAGAAGGAAAGAAAGATAAGAAAGAGGCAAGCCCATGTGATCATCCTCTATGGAAATCTACTTGGAAGAATCCAGTATTTAAAATTTTTCACTCACAAGTATGTCAGACTTTGAACAATTTAGAGTGCTAGGACAAAATATCACTGTGTGCTTATTGAATATCACTAACAAGTAATAAATTAGAGATATTAACTGACCTAGTAGGCTTTTTCTGACTGGTTGCAATTCCACTGTGATTAGACTGAGTTGCATTTCTGGCTGTGAGACTGTATGAGGAGAAACAGAGAAATTGAATTAAAGAGGTCCTTTGAACATGGAAAGAAAGCACAAACTTATAAGAAAACTATGAATAATGAAATGCAATTGGAACACATACAAAATGTATAAAGAACAAATTAATCAGAAAATTATGGTAATGTAACATATACATCATGACCTTTGATTATGAATGTACTATGAAATAAGGCAGCACACACCCTCAGAATAAAAATGTGGCATAGCGACCTTTAAAACTAGGGCTGAATATTATTAATAATTTGATAGATTATTTCATCTTACAATCACTGTGACTGAAAACTTCAGGGAAATCAAACTTTCATTTACATGATTGATAAATCTCTCAACAAAGCTAAAATAAAAGGTATGGGTTGAGCGTTATTAGTTTTTACAGTAAGCCTTTACTGGTATGTTCTTTTAAACTAAATACTTTGAAAACCAAGTCACTAAAATATCTGGTTTGTGTCTAACAAGTTATTATTGGTCTTTAGCTAGAAGTTTTAAAGCAAGTGAACAATAAACGATTTTCTATCAAAAGGAAGTTGTATAAAAAATTGAAATTGAAGTGCAAAGTCTTAAAGATCAAGCTTAACAAATACTCATAACCTCTGAATATTTTTAAGTGAGATTTCTTCCTGAGTTTTAAGATCAATGTCTTTTCTCAAAGATATATAAGAAAGCATTATTGAAACTGAGGTTTGAAGATGAATATTTTGTTATCAAAATGCAAATGTGTACATTAAACTGGCATGAGAGTTAGTAAGACTAACTCATTTTCTGAAGGTTACAGCTCAACTCAGTAGACTCAGTGGGTGCTCACACGTCTGTCGTGGCAATGGCTGGAAGCTGGGAGGCAGAACACACTCTCAGGTGAATTATGGTGATGTTAGGTAAACACAGTGACCACACCACAGGTGGAGTGGCTCTGGAGACTTGGAGGAAGGCACAACCACACAGGAGAGCGGAAATCTGGTTGGGGAAGGTCACATGGCCCCTGACTAGAGTTATTCCAATTGCTTCACTGCCCAGTGGCACAGCAAAGTCAAGGAAAGACTGCTTAGCACAGTGAATTTTCTGAGTTCATTCTCACTCCTGCCACTAGCTAGTCAGTCCTTGGAACCTGTGGGGCCTTACAAATGCCTGGCCTGAGGGGTGCACGTTCTCCTGGGGAGGGAGGTCTCAGATTCACAAAGCACCTATGCTCCACATGTGTTATGGTATACACTGTCATTGGTTTATAATGCGCTCTGTCTTTTAAATACAGTGTACACTGGAACAACTGACTAAACTGCTTCACTCACAATAATGTCACTGAGTGAGTGAAAAATATAAAATGAGATGTCCAAATGCATTGAGATGTTCTATAAAAAGTAAATTTAAACATAAAAGCATGCAATGTAAAGAAAGAACTTTTGTGAACTTCTCATTTAACTTGCCAGTATGAAGCTAAGAGTACTCACTAAAATTTACCTGCTGTCTTATTTTATATTTTCAAACTTAAACATAAATATAGGTAGTAAAGTAGTAAACATGATAGTTAAGCAGCATACTTTCTTTCAGGGAACTATAGCTTCTTCATTGAGTATCTGCCATGAGTGTAAGGAAAAACCACAATATGATTTGTCATACTGAACTGGAAAAAAAAAGAATCAAGGAGATCTGGAGAAGTTAAGTAGGTTAATCAAAATCAACCTGGTGGGGCCGGGGAGATGGCTCAGTGAAATAAGTGCTTCCCTGGCAAGCGCAAGGGCCTGAGTTCAATCCCCAGTTCCGCAAAAATAAATAAATAAATAAAAATCAACCTGGTTTAATGATCTATGTCACATGTGTGTCTTTCAATTTATTAAGAAAGTATGTGTTTCTTGTTTCTGTTTTTTTGTGTCAAGTCCCTTGTAACATGCTGAAATTTAGACTCTTCCTTACTTTCTGTGCATTTGTAAAGCTGCTATCTAAAGAACATCAAGGGCTGGCCTAATAGCTCAGTGGATTAAAGTGCTTGCAACAGGTACAGGGGCTGGGGGTTCAATCCTGGGCCTGCCATGCTAGCCTGCCCTTGGGGCGCACTGAGCAGGCAATTGAGACTTGGCATGGTGGCATGCACCTGTAATCCCAGCTCTTGGGAAGCTGTAAACAGGCAGATCACTAGGGGTCCAGTCTAGTAGTGAGACCCTGAACACCCTGTAAACCCTTCCCTAAAAAATACAAAAAATACAAAAAATAAAATAAAATAAAGAACATCATAGCTTTGTTAAATTTTCACGTCATTCTCTGTCTGGGACCATATCCATCACCTCATTTACTGACTCACAGACAGCTCAGTGACTAGCTCATCTGGTATCTGGTATGTCCACTTCCAATCTTGTCCATTTTTTTTCTCTCACCAGGGCATCTTCCTTTCCTCATCTCTTAAAAGAATGATTCTTTTTTCCCCCACAAAGGCCATGTCCATGGCCACTGAGGGAATAGCTCAGCAGCATAGGGGACTGCCTAGCAAGGACAAAGTTCTGAGTTTGAACGCCAGTACCAAATAAATAAATGTATACATACATACCTACATACATACATAGTATGTCCTTTCCCTACCAATGCTCTTATGTGTGTTCTTTTGTGTACTGTTTTCTACTAAGATACATACTAAAACCCTACACCTTAGAGCTAACCTTTCCTTCATACTCAGGCCCTCAGTGTCAGCTGCACACAGCTTGTCCATTTAGTACATCTCCAACTTCACCATACCAAAGTCACCACCCACGTTCTAGTCTACTCCTTCCATTATTTCATTCACAGGAAGACAATACAGTTTAGTCATGTGGACTGGAACCTTCAAGAATTGATTTTTTTCTTTTCCCCTTGCAATTACTACAGACGGGAAATCAATACCTATTTATCCTGTTTGAACTTACATTGATTCATATGAATCCATGCTCTTTAATTCCAATCTTTAACCCAACAAATCTAGCGTTTAATACATCCTACAATACATCTGTAGTAGAGAGGAATTCACAAATGGAACTGCATATCTGATTTGTTTTCCAGAATAATCAGGACCAAAAAAGACTACAATGTTTAGACTTGCCCACTGACCTTATAGAGGAAGGAATGCCCAAAGAGACACAGTGAGCTTCCTAAACCAGATAGCAGATGTATGACACACCGAAAGTCAATATTCACATTCAAGGATTTCTACAATATTTGCAATATTTCATACATTTGCATCTGTACAGTGTATTATCTTGGTCATTTAATAAGAGCTCTATTCAAGAGGGTGTCTATTTCCCAAGCATCAATCAATTTTTGTTTTCTTTTCTTTTTTTTAATTTATTTATCTTTTTAATACAGGGTTTTGCTATGCAGTTCAGGCTGGCTTTCAGCTAGCTTTGTAGCCCAAACTTGTCTCAAACTCATAACAGTCCTCTTGCCTCAGCCTCCCAAATGCGGGGAGTACAGGTGCGCACCACCGCACCTAGCTTCTTTTGTACTTTTCCTATGCTTTTATCCTGCTATAATTCCTATGGGAACAATTTCTGTGTCTATGTACAGATCTGCTTAATTTTAAACAATTGTCATAAAAGACATGAAGTCTGCATGAGTCTTCATCAAAACCCATTTAAAACTCTGAATTTTCATAATAGCTTACATAGTAAAAAAATTACTTCAATAGCAGTTTCTTCTATATAATAACTTCAAGTTTGAGGAAAGGTAGAATAATTTATCAGAAAATTCCTTGAGGATACACTTCAAATATTATGTCCAATTTAAAAAATAAAGAGACTGGATGTTTTGTGTTTTTGTTTATTTGTTTTGTACTGGGGATCAAACTCAGGATCTTACTTGCATTTGCCAGCCAGGTATGTATGGCACTGAGCTATCTCCCTGGCCTTGTGATTTTTTTAAGAAATAAAATTTTTTGATATTGCTTTGATTTGATGAGATGTACCAAAGGCCAGCATAGATATTAGTAGTTTGTCGTTTTCTTATTAAAAAAAAAACTGTTTGAAAATAAAATATGTCAAATCAAAATATGAGTAGAAATAAGTAGTACAGAGTCAACCAAAAGTATATGCATCATGACAAGAAAAACTTTCATAGCTATCTTAGCACTAAATTTATTGACATCATGGGATTAAAACAGATGTCTTTGATCTCTACAAATACAAGAAGTGTTCAAAGCGGAGGCCATAATATTCCAAACATTTATCAGTAGAGTGAATTGTTGAAATGTTTCTAGGTTTTTGTCATGAACTCTGGATATATTGTTAACACCATTAAGAGTTAGACAGCAGGGCCAGCCAGATAGCTCAGTGGATTAAAGCACCTGCAAGCAGGTGCAGGGGCCAAAGGCTCGATCTCCCGGCCTGCCGTGCTGACCCCATCCCTGGGGTGTGCTAAAACGGCAATTGAGACTAGACATGGTGGCTCATGCCTCTGATCGCCATGTGTAAAATCTTATTTGCATGCTGACTGAAACAACTTAAACATTATGAGAAAACAGAGGAAATTTTAACATCTAGATAAAGTCATTAAGTAATATTAATCCATTAATTTTTCTTTTTTCTTTTTCTTTTTTTTTTTTTGTAATTTTGGGGAAGATTCTACAGCGTGTTCAGGGTCTCACTACTAGATGGGATTCTTAGTGATTGTGCTGTTTACAGATTCCCAAATGCTGGGATTACAGGAGCATACTATCATGCCCAGTCTCAATCGCCTTCTCAGCGTGCCCCGGGGGTGCGGCCGGCAGGGCAGGGGATCAACACACCCCCACCTCCACACCTCTCCACCCCCCCTTCCCAGCCCCTAGTCTGCTTCCAGGCACTTTAATCCGCTGAGCTATTTGGCCAGGCCTAATCCATTAATTTTTAAAGTTGATAATTATTTTGGAAAGTTAAGTTTCGAAGAAACAATATATATATCTATATGTATCTATATCTGTATACATATAGGTATATACATCTTGTGTATCTTATATATAACTACGATTATATATATTTTA